AAAGCTAGTTTTTCGCGTTTTTATCGGGCTGTATAGATTCTTACGTTGGGGATGCTTGTCAGACCAACCTCTCATCCAGCCTTATTTGCTCAGGTTAGATGTCATTGGAGGATGCGAAGTTGGGCCTTTAGCAAAGGTCAAGTTGTGCTAACGCAATTGGCAATAGTAACGCTGTCCGAGTATTGCTTGTATTGATCCATCTCGCCCATAACGACTTCAGCGTGCTCATCTAGGATACAGGGTGAACACAACGGAGCTGTTCACGCGAAGCATGTCTGCTATAAATTCTTTTGTCTGTAACCTTACAGTTAATTCTAGCGCATCGAGGGCTCCAACGTTTTTTTTATAGAAGTACTTTGGAAAACAGTGGTTTATTGAATTTTGGACACTGGCTCGCCAGGTCGTCGTCAGACGGATGGGAATTCTACGAAACAGTTAATCCAAAATGATGCCTAACAGAAGCTTATATAGTGGGCCGGGGTAATAGTTAATAATCGTCATTCGCTTGTAAGTATGCGATCAGTAGGGAAGAACACTATGTAAGCTTCTGTTAGCCATCATTTTGGTTTAAAACTGTTTCATACAATTCCCATCCGTCTGCCGACGACCTGGTGAACCAGTGTCGAAAATTCACCCAATAAACCGCCGTTTGCCAAAGCACTTCTACCGAATTATACTACTTGGGATGCCGGTTAATTTACAGTTTATTTGACCAACGCATTGAACATGTGCCCTTCTCCCTCCGCTTAGCTTTACCTCAGCCACTGATGCACTACGGTGGTGCGCTTGACCTTAGCAAGTCCTGGCCGTCTACCTCCTCGCTGTTAACTTTTCCCCTGTTGCTGAGACTTTCAAGAGGGGAAAGGGGGGGGGGCTAACTTAAGTCCGTCTTTCAAGCCCTACTGCGCCTTATTAGCCACACCTAAACCTGTTCTGTGCTTCTATCTAACGGTGACTTTGCCGGGTCTTAACTACGCAGATATGCCGCGGAGCCAGAGCATTTGGAGGAGAGGGACAAGAAAATGCTACCAGAATATGTTTGAATAGGCATTGGGCAAAAACTTAGCGCCTATCTGCGCACATAGAAGCATGCCTTTCATGGTAAACTGGAAACTTTCGTGATCACAGCATACAACCTAACCAGATAAATTGCCGGGAGTCAGGTTGGCGTTTGCAGATATGTCAGCTTTTCCATTATTAATATGCGTTTTAGGCCCAGTTTGAAGCGGCTTTTAACCGGAATTTTTGTTGTACCAGAAGTGGCTTACAGGCTCATCGACACGCAAAAGTGGAAAATGTGAACAGTAATAGTACTTAATGCACGGTTCCTCATGCTATTCATCTGACGAAGGCGTGCATACAACGTAGTCGCAACAGGCCAGTCGTGCACTGCCTTCACAGGCATCCGGCAAAATTAGTGGACATTTTCCAAAACCTTGCGGAAGTCAACCCATCTGTAAAAACCTTATAATTTCAGCATTTTAATTTCCTGGGAAATTACTTTCTGTTCGCGATATACATCGGTTGGCCTTGGCAATCAACATCATCAGTTTTGTACTCATAAATAACAGCTTCTTAAATGTATGGCTATATAGTCACCACTTAATAGATTTTATTTCGCACTGGCTATTTGTTCTAGAGCTGCCTGACGACATTTTCTGTTTCTGTGATAGTTGCATGCAGCGGTATTTAAATAACATCTAATAAACTATACTCCATCTGGTACACATTTCCTATGTGAAGGTCTAAATTAATTCTTTGTAACTACAAGCATCAGATTCTGCGCCGGGGGATACCTCAAGACGCTCCGAAAAAATGCAACCGGACGCCATTTTGCAGCGAACGTTTCGTGCAGGCCAAAGTACCCGAACAGTCCTCAGGGAAAGGGTAAAATTCCACTGCGTACTAGTTGACTAGCAGAAACCGCCTTCCGTGGCCCACTCTAATGTTGAGAAATTGATACACGTTTAAAACAGTAATATACTTTAACCTATAACCTCTGGTTAGCGTAGTTACACGAAACCTGCGACGGCGGGATGATAAGTTAGGGATATAAGATTGCTTTTATAAAACGCCTCCCGATGGTAGCTGTGGCAGGAGCATCACATAAATGGGTTTGTGCAATGAAAACATCAGGCAATTTGCAAACATCCCTTATTGCAGTGAGTTAAGCAGTTAATTATTCTAAATTGCTTGCGACGGCTAAGGTGCATTTTACGAAGGTTCAAAAGACACCTCCAAAATTGAGTCTTCTTTGCGCAGCCGACGCCCGGCAGATGGTACTTAGATAATCAATTGAGTGGCAGTGGTGACCAGAACGCCCTATCAGCTTCTGGTTATTCATATGCCTCCTGAGCAAGAAAATATCACCGGTTAGTTACAAGCCTAGTCTACTCGACTATTGCACTCTTATGGCGGCACACCATCCTGAACTGTTAAGCAGAAAATATCCACTAATTTACATTAAATTGGACTAGTATACGACGCAGTCAATACTCTGATTGCCTTGGCGTCGGTCTATCACTACCAGCTTACCTCCCTATGATGTACATCCTCGTCTCGCCATAAGAAGCAGTTTTCACGCGATTGAATAAGTCTACTCACAGCCGACGCAAAGCTAATCCTCTTATATGTCAAATCCCAGATCTCAACGTTCGGAAGTTTGGGTGTGATGACAGCAGAAATATTCTGAGTGTCACTCACTCCTCAGCTTACAG